CCCTCGCGGGCGGTGGATTCTGGACTGAAGTCCTTTTGTTTAGGGCGATCTACGCGGGAGACAACTTCAGGTGGGGAGTTTGGCTGGGGCGGCACATCTGTTAAACGATAACACAGGTGTCCTAAGGTTAGCTCAATGAGAACAGAAATCTCATGTAGAACAAAAGGGTAAAAGCTAACTTGATTTTGATTTTCAGTACGAATACAAACTGTGAAAGCATGGCCTATCGATCCTTTAGTTCTTTTGGATTTTAAGCTAGAGGTGTCAGAAAAGTTACCACAGGGATAACTGGCTTGTGGCAGCCAAGTCCGCCCCCCAATATTGTCGAAATCACGGCACCACGTTTCGACATGGGAGGTTGACCTAACTGGACCATCAGTATAGCGGGGAGGACCGAATTTCCACATTCTATAGCCGTACCCGTCAGTTGCTGCCCTAATAGAGGCCCACTATCGGAGTACCATGTGCCAGCATGAGACGCCCGGCGCCTGTAGGGTTTTGAGTCTTGGTCACCGAATCGGGGCATTTCGACCTGCAGTGAAACGCATGGTGTGTGACCGGGGCAGAACGCGACTGGGTTCTCGAGAAAAAAGTAAAACACACTATCTGGAACAAGGAGCAACATTCCATCTGAGCAACAGGGAATGTATTTCTACATGGGATTGAAATCAGCTGGTTGCCTCGGACGTAAGTTCGACTCTCGGTACAGTAACAAGGCGGGGCGGTACTTCAATGTGGCGGTACTTTTTTTACTGTAGGCGGTATTTCGTTTTCCGGCGGTACCGCCTTTGGCGGTTCCCGGTACTGCCAATTATGGCGGTACTTTTTCGGCGGTACTGCAATATGGCGGTTCTTTTTAGGCGGTTCCCGGTACTTCGTTTTTTGGCGGTACTTCTTCGGCGGTACTGCAATATGGCGGTACTTTTTAGGCGGTAGGCGGTATTTCGTTTTTCGGCGGTACCGCCTTCGGCGGTTCCCGGTATCACCGAATGTGGCGGCAATTACCGCCAGTACCGGGACCGCCCACCACGGCGGGAAAAAAACGGCGGCAATTTCCCGAGGTGTACCCTGAAAAAAATATATACGATGGTATGACGAAAGAGAAAAAATAAAAAGAAAAAAGATGAACGAAGATGCAGGCCAGCTGGACTCGAACCACTGTTCTACGCGGAATATCGCCCTTAGTATACTCTTCTAGCCTACTTCTCTCCCGGGTGCGACAACCTCACAGGCTCGTGCGACATGGCGGTACTTTTACGGCGGTACTGTAGTATGGCGGTACCTCTACGACGGTGCTGTAGTATGGCGGTACTGCAGTACGGCGGTACGTTTACGGCGGTACTGCAGTACGGCGGTACTTTTTCGGCGGTGCTGCAATATGGCGGTTCTTTTTAGGTAGTTCCCGGTACTTCGTTTTTTGGCGGTACTTCTTCGGCGGTACTGCAATATGGCTGTACTTTTCAGGCGGTAGGCGGTATTTCGTTTTTCGGCGGTACCGCCTTCGGCGGTTCCCGGTACCACCGAATTTGGCGGTAATTACCGCCAGTACCGGGGCCGCCCACCACGGCGAGAAAAAAACGGCGGCAATTTTCCCGAGGTGTACCCTGAAAAAACATAGAGGGCGGTGCCGTTTTCATCGCATGGGGGATCGCGGCAAGGCTTTCAATGTGGGGACGACGCCAAAACGAACATAACAAAGCCAACAAACAACAACAGCGCACTGTTGTAATTGAATACAAACCTCTCCTGCAGCACTGTACCGACGTAGTCACTGTAACGAACTATAACATGGGGGCTGGAGCGTTACAACGTTAAGTGCGACTTTCAAATACCACGTTGTGCTCGTCAAGTTTAGGATGGTTTCGTGCTAGTATCCCTCATGAAATTGCGCGTATTTTGACGTATGCTACGCCTTCGTTGACCCCGGGAACGGTGAGCTATTACCCCCGGAACCCTAACCCCGTTGGGCCAAGGTTCCGATTCGACGTCAATTTTGGTCCTTTGCACCGCAGAAAAAAATTGAGGCAGAAGTGCAGAAGACACAAAAGTGTACTTCTGTAGACGCAACAGCTATCTCCACCTTTGGCCATGCGGGCAGCCCGCGACAGGGTGGTTGCCACAGACAGAGCCATAGAGAGGTTGATGGGTGGTCACGCTGCGGCCGGCAGGGTAGGTAGCCTTGCAGACCTTGAAATAATCAGTCGCCTAGCTGCCTCAATTACTTTATTTCCCGTATATTCTATAAAATGAACAGTCAGACGGCTTGTAGGCCCAGAGCTGGTATTTGCTTCTCTGTACTTCTCTATCCCCACATGTGAGCCCTGCGAGCCCAGCTCCTGTTTCCCCACCACAAGCACACAAGCACACCAGCACATCGGCACACCTACCTAGCGGCGAGGGTTGTGTGGAGCCATGATGTTTTGTACTGGCACGATGACTGCTACTAAATAATCTATCTTGGACTCTTTTCTATGGATAGAGGTTGATTCGTTGTGTCATATTTGACAGATTCGGACTCAAAAGTTCTCCAGATAAAGGAAACACATTTTGAGTTGAGCCATCGTTTGAGGATCGTTCCTGGCAGTCTCGCCAGAACCCACAACAAGGAAACTGTTGTCCAGATGAAGAGTGGCGAGAGGCTCGAATTGTGGAAATCGTTCATATAGTAATTTTTCGATTCAGCAACTTCCACATACACACAGCTGCTCAAAACACATGTTTACCCCCGATCAAAGAGAAACTCAGCGCCCAGCCTAGCCTAGCGAAACAGGCCCTTGGTGAGGGAGGCTTGCACGGCCAGGAAGTTGGGTTTGAGGCTTTAGGTCAGCACGAAGAGTGCCCTCCGGGTGAAGACGGGCTTGTCTTTCCCCGCGCAAGAGTTTTCTCTGCTTTCTACTATAGAAATAACGTTTGACTTGCCACACCACACTCCCACCCCTCCCCTCCAGAACGCTTGAAATGCGACAATGCACGTCGTTCAGAGGCTGCCGGCCAGTGTGATCACTGCCTGTCTCCGTACTGATGCGATTTCGTGCAACAACGGCAGGTGGAGGAGCCGTAGCAGGAGCCGCTTGCGTAGAAGAATTTTGCTCGGTTGCGCCTGTGCTGCGGTCGAAGCAGTTGCGGAAGAAGCGGAGGTACTTGCAGCGCGGCAGTCTGCTCTTCTTCCTGCAAGTTCATGTTGTTGAAGGTCTCCAAGCGGGACGTTTCCCGCACACGGAGGGTGTGTGTTGTGTGTGATGCCCAGGGGCAAATGCCGTCACCCCGGTGATGAAAGGAGGGGCCCCGTGAACGTATGCGGCGTAACCTTAATTTATCACCGGGGTGTGTTATCTTGTGTATCCCGGGTGATAAATCGATGGTTTGTCAGAAACGCCCAAAAGTATCACCGGGGTGTTACATTCTGTGGGGGGGTTTCTTATGTAGTTGTGTTATCTTGTATCTTGTGTCATTTACGGTACGCACGTGCCAAACATCAACTTGCTGTGTGTGTTTTTCAAGGGTGCAACATAACGAACACCCGCCGCCAACAATTCCGAACATATTTCTCTACACCTTCCCAGCATAACATGCAGCCAGATAGGAGTACACATGATGGCCAACAGTCGTGTTGAGCTGCTACCCGCAGGGGAGATGTCGCTGTGTACCGCTCGGGAAACCGTGGAAACATACGAAGTCTTCGCTGACGCCATGAACTCAGTGCTAAACTATCTAACACTCTTTTCTTTGGATAGAGATGGATTGGTTGTGTCGTACAGCGTAGGTGGCCCTATTATAGTGGCATGAAGGGGCAAGAGGAGAATACACCACTATTGAGCGCAGTGCCACTATTCGATACATCGGGTTCGAACATTTTGAGATTGGGACAAGAGAATTTGATGCCACCATATTGGCAGTTCCACTGCTGTGTATTCAAGTTGCCACCTATATCGGGCCACCTATATCGTACTACACCGACACTTGTTATACCCGCACCATTCACATCAACAACTGTGTTATCCGCAAGCACTATGACGGAAATCGGCGGAACGCCACTTCGACTTGCACTGTACAAGTAGTAGTTCAACCATTCTCCACTACACCAGAGGATGCCTACAAATATGAGCTCTGACCTGTAGGAATGACAAAAGGGTCGACTCCTGTACAGCGTACCTGGTACCTGGTACGTCGTGCAAAGGGGCACGAAAATGAGAGGTTTTCAATACTAGAGGGAAAGGAAAGACCTTCGAACCAATCTCTAGATTGCACGGCGGTGCCTCCTTTCATCAGTGGTGGTTCTTCGCGCCTGTCCCTGGTCACCCTTTGTTCATGACAGTAAGTGTAATTATTTTTCCTTAATTAAATGTAGACGCGGCGCAACTTCTCCTGCAATTTCCCTCCCATTTACGCATTACGCATTTACGCATAGCCATGGTTCTCCCCAAGTACCCCGGCACCCACCCCTTGTCGAGGAATTCAAAGGAAAGTAGAGACTGCCATGCCATTTGCGATCTGAAACATGCGAAGGTGAAGAAGATGGGGCCAAAAGGTGGTCCAAAAGTCGACTATACCAGTAGATGGAAGCCCCGGCCCACCTGCAGGTTTAGTGTTCGACGCAGCGCAGATAAAATGGCTTCTTTCTTCTCGGATTTTCGTGCGCCTAGAGAGTGAGACCAGGCCAAGCCCTTCTACTCGGTTGGTTGTCAGCGCGGTTAGAACACCGGCGCACAGCAGTTGCACAACGCGGCACGATTGCAGACTTTATCAAAGGAAAAAAAAATACACGAACAGAAAGACTACCCACAGACTTGGAAACCCCGCAGCTCCGCTCCAGCAGATCCACGGAGCCGTCTACGGCGCACCCACAGCGCACTCGACAAGTAACGTGCAAGTGATTGGAATTTCGGCAAGGATCCACTCGGCAATCTCGATCTGCCCTATTATAGCGTATGCGCGTGTGCCAAGAAGGTGCGGAAAGCACACATGCTTTTCTTGTTAGAAAGACATGAAGAAACCGTACGCCAAGCATGTATTGCGGCTACTTTGGCTTTCGCTGCGCTCGTGCTGCGGCAGATTTCCTCATCTGGGCATTTGACACGAGGAAGAGGCTACGTGGACTTGCCGAGAGAACAGCCTTGCTGCAGGTATGTGTGTACATATGCAATGCATATACGAGGGCGCTTCGCGGACGACCGCTATCGGCGGTCGCCGCAGCGCTCGTAGGTTGCATGGCGATGGCAAAGTGTGTGCGGGTTGAGGTTTGGAAGGGGACGGAGATTTAACGGCGAGGTGTGCATACACTTGCGAAGAACGTGGCCTATCAACTTTGTTCGTGCTCATCAACACCGACAATGCAAATGGCAGGTCTCGTACAAATAGAGCGATGAAACCGAGCTACGAATGAAAAACCAACGGCTTCTAAAAAAAAGGTGAAGGTTCCGAGTTTTCCCAGTTTCAATCAAAACTGGGCCCTGTGTCCCTGTGTTCATCTGCTGTGTTGGGCGAACCACGGGCGATTTTTTACTGGCGGCGCCTGGAAAAAAAAGAAGAAAAAAAAGGAAGAAAGTCTAGGCCATTCTTTCGCGAAACACCTGTATATATATCTCGACGACCACGACGTCGATTCACAAGTGGGTTGCCGCACATGATGCAGAATAAGCAGGAAATGACCTTGATGTGTCTGCGCTCTGAATGACTGTCCCCTTTTGTCCACTCTCGGTGCTGTTTTGCAGCGCACAAGCAGCACTTTTGTAAAAAAAATCATCTTCATGTGCCTATCATCTATCACTGCTGTAGCGTTTCAACACAAACGCACGCCATCGTTCTCAACAGGAGGCCAGCGGTAGCACCACAGCGGTGATTCGAGCAACCAACATGTCGAGAGAGGTGGTGCCGCCTTGAGATAGATCCGCGCCTGTGATGACGTGTGCAGTGAAAGATCCCGCCTGTAACTCTGCTGCTGCTGCTGCTGTCCACATTATGAATGAATTCTCAACGGCAAAAATCGAGCATCAGATACCATCTCTGATCTGCCTGATCTCTGTCTCACCCAGTTGTTCAGCACCACGCCAGACCACCATACACAAAAAGGACAGCAGCAGTTGCTAGAGTGTACTATGGTGCCACTGCGTCAGTGCGCAAACCGTTTGCATACATTGTTTGCGTCTGACCATCATGCATCATCAAGCCGCTTCTTTCCGACAGCTACAGCAGCAGCAGCAGAGGAGTAGCTGTCTGTGTGCTTGCGGCAAAGCAGAAGCATCATCTGCAGCGAGGGCGTGTTGCTTCCGTGTCCCACACACTCCTCCGCCTTCTCTGTGTGCTATGTGCTGTGTGCTGGGTATGCTGTGTTTGCTGTGTGTTGCCAAGATCGCAGGTGATGTGTGCCCCTCCTGTGCCCCTTTTCAAACGTGTCCCGTCACCGACGGCAGCCAAAGTACCAGTCTATTTCTAGTACAAAAAACATGTGTCCCGCTACCGACGGGAGGCTCCGACACTAAAAAATCGCCTCTTCTCCCGGCAGAGTCTACCCAACAACGTTGCACCAAAGCTCGTCGGCAAAAACAGAAGAGGAAAACGTACTCGTACGCAAAAAATCAATCCCAATTGCGCCAATCCCCTCACGTTGCCGTGCACCACGAAGTGGCGAATCGTGCCCCCCTGGTCTCAACCGTCTTGCAGCACCCCCCACCCCTCCACACATTTTTTCTCCCCGCTGCGGCCCCGGGCTCCATGCGCTCCAACGACATCGAACAGCGGTCATGAGCGCTTTTTCAGCAAACCTTCCGAAGCTCCTGTATTGTTGCAGGTTAACATTCATCCCACGGCGAGCGGCGAGGGTAGAAATTTGAGGAGGGTCAGGGATCGGGGACATAGTGCTCTGCTGAACGCACAACGTCTCTCGGGAGGCGCGCGCGCCGGGGGGGGGATTGTTTTATATATGGGGGGGTGAGGGCAAGGTACGGGAGACAACAGACAGAATGCAAACATGGGAGAAAAAACACGAACGAATGGGTTTGTGCTGCGCTCCCCAGTACTTTCTCCATCGTTGTTTCCACGAAGTACAGCAGCGACGTGCCACGCATCAGACATGCGGACGGGCTACGATGGCATGGGATGGCACGCAATGTAATCAATTTTAGCATCCTGGTGCTTGTTTTGGTACATCATGTTGACTGCTGCTCAGTACAGTTCTTCAAGCACGACGTGCAGCAGAGCAAAAAAAAGGCATCGAGAACAGCACCAACAAGGGAGCACACAGCCGCGGCAGCACAGTAACCGAACCAAAAGTAAGAGTGCCGCCGTTGAGCGGAGTGACCTTTTTGCGTGGTTTGCGTGTGCCGGGGGCAAGGCGAGGCGATGCATACAAAAATCCGCATGTTTTTCGTCTTCTAACCCGCCCGGTTGGGGTGAGTCAAGTACTGCTGTACATTCTGCTGTGTGGCATGACAACGAAAGCACAGGGGGAAAGCAGCAACAGAGCACACAGCGCAATATTGGCACACCGAAAAAAACATTCGGTCGTTGAGTGCAGTGAATTTTATGGTTGTTTTTGTGGGTCAGAGAGCAGGCGAGGTGGGCTACACAAAAAATAGCATGTTTTTTTCAACCGTTGCCTCGCTTTGGCTGGTGCTGTTTGGTGGAGGCAACCAAATGGAGGCAAAAAAGACTTGGGCACTCAGAGAGTTCAGAGGCACCCCAGGTGCTTCGACCGTTTCGGATCCACAGCAGATGGTCGACTCTGGTGCTGTGAGGGACCAAATCGTGCTCGATGCACAAGGTACCGCGCAACCTATCCTATTGCACACGGCTCTCAGGGTGTGTAAGGGGGCCGATAGCGGCTGAGATGGGGCCTCGCGTCTTACCTAGGGCCAGCGGCGGCAGCCGACGCGAAGTGCAAGTTGGCCCCCAAGAACCCAGCCCTCCAGCAAAGCAGGTCACCAAAGGAGAAACTCGAGTCCTCCCTCCACAGAGCACGCCAGGCCTCGCTGCCGGCTTCCCAGAGCTCCAGGGACACAGGGTCAACGGGCAAGACTGCCCGCACCGCGGTTGAAGCGGCACAGCGCTAGAAGTCCAAGGGCTGCTGCTGGTGTCAGTGAGAAAGGCGCCCGAGGCGACGCGTTTCGCCTCGACCCCAGTATAAACAGGTCAGGTGCACCCAGCACCGCTTACGCCACAGACCTCGAGACGCGACGCCGCACACCTTCCTGAGACCGCACGGGTGTTGGGAAGCGAGGGACGCCGGTTTTTCGAGCCGGCGTGCTCGGGGCAAGGCGGTGAAAATTTTGGCGGCGACCTCACCCGCCGCTGCTGGAGCACACTTTTCTGGTGCTTGGAGAGAGCAAGACCTACCCACACAACCCATTGCCGTGCTTCCGCTGCAGCACACGAATCCACAAGCGCACAGCTGCCACAGCCCCCCAATAGTGTGCCCGGGTGGTATTGGGCGTAATTTTCCTGACGACGCCAGCGGCTCGGGCTAACGTCAACATGACGCAGTTTGCCGATTATGGAATCCTCTCGGAATTTTATTCTGCGGAGTGATTTTTATTGTACTTGAAAAAAAGGTGAAAATTTTTGTGCGTTGCAAGATGAGCACCCCTGTATCAGATACATATAAGTGAAAAATAAACTGTTCTTTTTGGGAGATTTTGTGTGAGAGATCCAGACAAACAGAGAGGGAAGCAACAGAGCGGCAGGCCTCGTGTCTCGTGTGATCGGAGAGCCACAAATGTGTGCAGAGGACAGAGCGACAGACAGACATCGTGTGATCGGAAAGCCGGAAGGACCGGACCATCCAGTCTAGCTGAAACAGTCTATCTCAAAAGAGATCGGAATATATATGCAGACTTTCCTGTGTTTGCTTGTTTGTGCAGGATAGGAGAAGGACCACTGACGTAGATGCGCACAACAGAGACTACAGGCAGCCATGCATGTACTGTATTGAGAAAGCACTATCGCTGTTCTGTGTTGCTCTGTTGGAAAGAACAACGTGTCGGCGAGTATACATTACACCCCAACGGAGCACGAAGGTAGTGTGAGCCTAGAGCGGCTGTGGAGGGAGAGTCTGCACGGGGCACAAAAGGGGAGAGCACAGAACGCTGTGGCAACAGGAAAGGATCGGAAAGATCTCCCGGAAAGAATCGGAGAGATCAGAGAGAGAGCGCGAGAGAGAACGAGAGAGGGAAGGTTGCGCACCAGAACACAATGAAACGATGCACGCTTGTTATGCGTCACCGCCATAGACATGGAAGGATCGGCTCGCCTCACCTCGATCTTTTCTGGGCCAAGCTGAAGCTTCGTGACGCACTTGGACATATAGCGCGGCTGCCAATACGCGCAACATAGATAAAACGTAAACTACAGAAGAAAATACACCCCGGTGATAACATTTTGGGCTTTGTTAAAATTATCACCGGGTGTGGTATCCTGTGGGGTGTGTGGTATCTTATGTAGCCCGGGTGATACAGGACAGCTCGCAGTGGCGCCCAAGGGTGTGTGGTAAACTCCGGGGTGTGATAGCACGTTTGCACACCCACAGAGTGTGTTGCGAATGTGATGATGAGGGGTGCGATGGAAAGGTGTGTGCTAACAATGCTTGCTTGTAGAGCTGAGCCGCTGCCGCCGCACACGTGAAGGGGCGTAGTATTGTGGGTGTGTGATAGCAGTGCAGGCCACTGCGCCGCACATACGGTGCTCGCATGTGCTGTTGCGAGTGAGTAACCAACTGGCTGCTGTTGAGGTGACCCGGTGACCGTCATGTTGGCGCCTGTTGCTGTGCCACCTGCTGCTGCTGTTAATTCAAGAGCAGCAGGAGGAGGAGCCGTAGCAGCAGCCGGTTGTGTAGAAGAATTTTGCTAGGGTTGAAAGAACAAGGTAATCTGTCGCGCCTACACTGCTGCGGTCGAAGCAGTTGTCGAAGAAGCGGAGGCACTTGCAGCGGTATTCTGCTTTCCCTCCATATTCATGTTCTTGGATGTCTCCATACGGGGTGTTTCCCCCGCACACAGAGGGTGTGTGTTGTGTGTGATGCCCACGGGGCAGATGCTATATGTGATAGGAGGGGCCCCGTGAATGGATACGGTGTTATCACCGGGGTGTGTTATCAGGTGATAATTCGCTGGTTCGTAAAAAACGCCCAAGAATATCACCGGGGTGTGTTTTTCTTCTGTAGTTTTCGGTATGCGACCGGCTGTCACTGACCCGAAGGACCGCCGCATGGTGAAGAGCAGTGGCAAAGGTTAAAACGTGCTCTTGCCTTGTGGGACTCACTTGTGCGCACGCCACCTTCCCCTCCTGCTTCTGGTCTTCCTATAATGTACCTACCTCCTTACCTTGTTGCTGATCGAAACGTATTTTTTTCACCGGGGCTTGGCTGGGATGAAGCAGCTGATTCTCATCGAAATATCTAGTCTATTGAAAGCTTGGGAAGTATTTTGAACCCTCAACTCTGGACGAAACTCTGGAAATCTCACGCCAACGTCCTGATGCTTTTTCCAGTCGACTTCAGCTGGGTCCCTCTGCGGGGGACATGTATGGTTGTCTTGAAGGCAAGCGGTGCTGGGCTGGGGTATATGTGGATATGGCAACAAACGAGATATGGCATCTCGAAACCGGGGGGCGCGTGTATCTCTCTCCTGGCACAGCTGCAGCTGATCCTCTACGGGGGTGCTTGAGGTGGTGGGCGGAGGAAGACCTACTGCACATGACCGCTTGCAGTGAGAAAGTTTTCACTCGGTTTGACGTGGCCAGTGAAATGCGGCGCGATCGAGCACAAGCTGGAACACTTGCTGGGTTTACTGCGGAAGTCAGCTCAACAATCGATGCGGTGGGCGGAGATGGTTCTGCACCCGCCAACTCAGGTGGCATCGGCAAAATACGTCTCGTTCGCGACCCTTTCGGGTTTGTGTTTCCTGGCTGTATGTACGTGCTGTCAATGCAGTCAGGATCATCGCGCAAGATGGCGAACAGCGACGGTGTTTCTGTGGTACTCAATCGGGATGGAACAGTCACAAGTACTACTGGTGGAGAGCGCGTTGCCAGGTGGTTTTTCCCTTGGAAAAAGTCTCTCGGCGGCACGAACGATGAGTCGTGGGCTTCGGGGAATGAAGTGCTGCTTCGGTTCAACACCGATTTTAGTCAGGTACAGCAAGGTTTCATTAAACGCTCGCAGTCTCAAGTTGCGAGACTTGACTTCGTTTGCCGCTTGTTCTCATAAAGAGGATTTTGTACCTGTCGACGGCCTGCGTGGAGGGGCTAGACCAGTTATGTACCTGACTGTTGTTGCCTTCGAATGGGGTTCACATCGTTTTTGTCTTCAAGAATGTTTTAGTTGTTGGGCCGTTTCTTAGACTGTCGGAAATCGAAATGTTTGTGAAACCATACGCAGGCTGGAGAAGGTCTGCCTGCGAGCTCGGAAATGCAATAGTTCCATGTTTTACATAGAGCAGTGGCCAAAATCGGGTACACCCGGTCCAAACACGGCCATAATCGGGTACCCCTACAAGACGCTGCTGGGGGCGACCGCATGACACCATCTGATTGGCCGACACCCACTCCTA